ACGTATTGATCTGATGAAGTTTTTAGATATGACTGAGATATATCAGCTATATTTGATTTGTATACATGACTGTTCAATGTACAGTGTCGATAGTGCAAAAATGTGAATGCTGACGTCGCAGTGCCATCGAATTTCTGATGCTTGAAGATATAATATGAAGGTACATGTAATATGAAGTGCAAGGAGGGAGAGGAATGATGGTTGCCAGGATAATAATATGAATGTATTATGAAGCGCAAATACCTAGGGCGTGCCTTTTGTATGTAACTCAGAGTGTACCATCAGCAAGATCTTTTAAGGGTAAAGAAATACATACCATGCCATGGTATGAATAGTATGTGTCTAGACTATTAACCTGTGCGCTGCAATTTGAACTGACGTAAACATGATCCAAAAGACTACTTTGGTCAGTGGTTGGAGTCCGAACTGATTCATTACTGTCAGAACATTGTGGTTGGGATATTTCAGGAGGTCAAAATTGAAGTCCCCAAGAATTATTGTGGCATTTTGAAGTAAAGGTAGACTTTTTTGCAGCCTGTTCATGAAGATTGTAGGTTGGAAGCATGGTGGTCTGTAAAATAAATGGTAACAATGTTGACCCTGGTAGATGATTTAGTGATGGCTGTGCACTCTAGTTCGCTACTTGTAATTGCCAGTTTTGTGGGACAGACAGATTGTTTTAATTAAATCAACAACATTTTGCAGTCTATATTTTTCTTTTTTTTCTTAATACCAATCTTATTGGATATTTTATTAGTTTCGCAAGGCAACAAACGAGTTTTTGCACTCGTCTGTGATATTATTATAAATATGCATGACGTGCTTGTTTGTATACGCGTTGTGTTTGCATATGTATCAGTATATATGTATATTATGTACTAGTATACAGTGTTAGTTGCAGTACAGGTTACTACCGTGTACTTGTACTTCCCCTCTTACATCGGTCCCCACATAGCTGTTTTCTTTTTTAGTTAGCTGTGTTAATCAATTCGGTCAGTAAGTGTTTCGTCAACGGCGTCGCATTGTGTCAACTAGTTTTGAAATCGTACCTTTATCTGCTTTTGTGGCCTACTTTCAGTGTTATTACTGATCTTATTAATCATAAGACATATTGATGGCCACTGAGCCGTTTACCACACCTATTATATCTCATCATCTGTGTGTAAGTCGAAACTTTGTTTACGTAAAGTTTCAGCAACTTTACATGTTCCACTGTCGGTAAGATTTCCGTAGTCTCTACCCCGACATATATTTGCAATCGAAAGGCAAACCTATTTATTTCTGTTTTTTCATGTCTTTTCCTCTCTTTGTTCCCAAAGGTGAGCAACGCCATGCGTGCCCGTGACCACTCCCGGCTACAGAAGGAATTCACTGGTGAGATGGACAATATGCTCTGTTCTATCTTGGTGCCTACAGGTAAACTTCCGCCATGCCCACCCTAAAAGAGGCAGACTGCAGCAGGAATTCACTTACTAGCACGAAACCCAGCAGTGGAAGGATTGGGGTGTGCATTAATGTTTTTACCGAATAAGCATTGAATGATTAAAAAAAACTCAGACAAATAAAAAAAATGCCTTACACTAAAAATTAATATCATCACACAGTAAAGTTATTAAGAAAACAAAACAACCAGCATCATGTCAATCTGACTTGAAGGTTTGCCATGCCCAATATGAGGGAAACCTTTGGCTGGCATTGCAGGTGCCTGAAATAGCTATATGTCAGGTTAAATCATCATTACCTTCGTCAGGAAGGTTTTGTTTTCAGTGCGTTTGTCTGTCTGTGAACAGCACAACTCAAGAAGCTTTATATGTATTGTCCTAAAACTTGGTAGGTGAGTAGGTATTGATAAGATCTAGAAAATATTAGATTTTGGATACCCTGGCGGTATTTGTTGGTACTGCAGCAGAACTTCCGGTTTCAATATCTCATGATCTGGATGCTAGGGTCACCAAGTTTGGATGGTAGGTAGCCCTTGGGCCAGGAAAGAGGTGACATGAGTTTGAGCCACGTTCTTGGACTGCAGAAGCATTTTTTTAATCTCAAAAGGAGGAAAACTCATGAACCGGTTGACAGATTGTCATTATGTAGGTAACTGAAGTGATGCTTGACATAATCAGATGAGTTGATTTGCATAACTAGAGTTCCCCGATCTCATACCTTCGCCAAATGATGTTAACCTTTATGACTGACAAATTATAGATTAGATTATTCCCCCCTGATTTAACAAATAGGAGCCTAATTTTCATGAATTATATCATTTTATCATAATCTCAACCAAAAGACAGTCTTATATTAACAAACAATGCATTCTAGCATTTCCTTATAAATTATGCAAATGAGGTCCTGATTTGAATAAATTATGTTTAATGATATTCACCTCAATTTAACTTTCAAATACCACAAGTATGAAATTCCAGGCAGTTATCATTACATAATTATAAAACTTTCTTATTAATTATGCAAATTAAGTCATCATTAACATAATCAATATCTTCCTGTGTTTCTCTCGTTGTCAATTACCAATGTCACGAGCTTCAATTGTCCTATCATGGAATGCAGCTGATTTATAGAATTTCCGCATAAATTATGCAAATTAAATCCATATTTGCATAATTGTCACATAATTATATTAAGCATCACGAAAGCTACCTACATACCAAAAATCACGACGATCCGTCAACTGGTTCTTGAGTTATCCCCTTTTGAATATTTTCAAGAATATATCCCTGCAGTTCCAGAGCAAGCCGCTAGGGGGCCCAAACTCACGTCACTTCTTCCCCACCACAAGAGCTACCTACCATCCAAATTTCGTCACCCTAGCATGTGTAGATCATGAGATATCAAAACCGGAAGTTCAGCTGCAGTACCATAACAAGCCGCTAGGGGGTCCAAAATCTAATCATTTTGAGGTCTCATCAAGACCTACCCACCTACTAAGTATCAAGACAATCCATCAAGGCCTTCTCAAGTTATCGTGTTTACAGACACACACACACACACACACATACACGAACGCCCCTGAAAACATAACCTTCTTGGCGAAGGTAATTAATGAGGAAATTCTATGAATCTGCCTCATTCGATGATACAACTATGAAACACTCGACACATGTAATTGAGAACGTTTAAGAATTGAGAAAATTTGATCTGAGGACACAGATTATGTAAATGGAGACTTACAGTGTATTTGCATTATTAATGGAGATTTGTTTCTTCATGCTAGGAATTCCATACTTGCTAGGTTTCGAAGTTAAGTGAAGGTGAACATTAGTAACGTTATTCAAACCATTGCGTCATTTACATAATTTATAAGGAAGTGCTAGAAAAGCCTCTTTGTTAAGGTAGGGCTGTCATTGGGTGGAGAATATGATCAATTGATATAATCCATGCAAATGAGGCTTTTATTTGCAAAATCAATTATTGAAATTCGTCAACCGACGTGGTTAACATCATTTGGCGAAAGTATGAGGTCGTGAAGCTTGTTCACTAAATGAAGTTAAAACTTTTTGAAATAATCGACAAACAGCTGAGACATTTTGGTGGTCATTAAATCTAGAGAACGTATTTGAAATACTTGTATCATTAAAACAAACTGTACAGACTACCGGATGTCTCATATCCCAACCTATGTGCAAAGGCTGGTCCCACTACTATCTAATTAGAGGTTGGTGGGGGAAGAATCGTTACATTTCAATATATGCCCCGTTAGACGGGGTTAGCGACCAAAAACAGGATATATATAGAAAAGGAACGATTCTTCCCCACTAACCTCTGATTGGGAGTAGGTCCCACAGGGTATCGCAAAAAAGCAATTCCCTAAGGAACGTATTGGTGGAATATTCAGAATATTTGCCAATTCAATCGCAGTACTATACTTATGACTCCGCCCCTGAGGCGTCGCCAAAAAAAACTTACGGGGGGGAACATTCGAAAACAATGCTTAAAGAGATTACTTAGACGTGTTGCTTAATCTTGGTTGATTTTCTGCAGAATAAAAATTTTCAAACACTCCCTTGAAATGCATCTCTGAGAAGTGTCGACGTGCACACTGATTCGTGCCCCTACTCTGTTGTGATACGAAAGTGCCACGTCGCAAAGTACTCGTACATGTACTAAGTAGCAAAACCCTGTGACCGAAATTTGCACATTTTGATATGCGTGATCCTGCTTTAACTAGGTGAATACGGTCTAGTAATGTAAAATATTGGTAAAAAATATGGTCGTAGTTTTTATGCAAAGAATCAGTACAACGAAACGCTGGAAGCAAAGGAAAATATTATTGGGCTGTTACGCTGAATTCTGAAACACGATAGTGTCCTTTGGTTGTGAATTAACGCTGTCACATAAATTTTAAAGAATTAAAACCAATTTATCATTAAAAAAATAAGCGTAAACGATCTTAATTTATTTTTCAGACGTTGAATGAACACCCGAGATCAGATAGAAGCTGGTACCTAATGTCATCGAAAAGGAAACAGTGCAACATCAAGGGTCGTAAAATACACTACCGGTACCATGGACGCAATAATATTAAAACACTGCCATGCTGGGAACAATTTCTGCATGCAAGTGAAAAGAAACATTACTAGCTAAACTGGGATGTAAACAGTGTAAAATACAAATAGAATAAAATTACCGGTGGTATGGAAGAACTATCAACGATCAAGATAATATACGAGGCAGAAAGAGCAGGATTTAGACAGGGAACACGTCAGCATAATAAACGCTATATGTACCACGGACAAAGAAATATCTTCAGCTTTTAAAATAGAAAAACAGAGTACTGAGTACAAAAAATGCTGCCATTTTCTAGGTGCAGGGAATTGATTACGAGTCATGGAACAATCGGTGACAAAACAGTACTATATAAGGAAATACGGGCAGCACTCAAGGCTAGGTAGCGTCCTACCAGTTCTAGGGCGAAAATAGGTCAATATAAGGGAAATAAAAATATAAGAACCAGTATAGAATCCTAAGAATATTAGTACAGGACTTACCGGAGTATCAGCGACGGATACTGAAGTAAAAACTACCGCGAGCGGCTGGATCTCCGCGCACACTAAAAATGTTCAAACACTGATATTATGGGCGGTCTCTGAGGTGTGCCAACGTGTGAGCTGATCTTATCTCTATGTTGTTTGTTGTTACTGCTGTGGTATAGGCAAGCTGCAGAGTAAACGTACATGTCACGTCATGGAGTGGACGAAGCTTTCAGGGGTGAGTTAACCAGTAAAAATTAATTCGAGTACCTTGTGATATGTTTTGGGACAAATTTGTCAATTTTTCACCTGCCATGACTTTTAACAGCCTGAAACCTTGATGCACGCAGGGAAACCAAGTAGACGGAAGGGTTTGCTTGTTAGATCTCCCCCTTATACAAGAAAAATGTCCTTTTTTGCCTGCATTCTCGTAAATTTAGAACAAGAAGCCATAGGTAACAATCCTCCGTGAAGTTTTATATTTTGCAACAAAAATAATCCCAAGCGTCAACGCCAGACCTACTGTGCAGACATAAGGCAACGGTTAATACAATGAGGGCGCGTCACATAAAACATAAAACATTAAAAATACCTAAATCCATTACTGCTCTCAGGGCGGGTAAAGATACTGTGCTTCAGGTTCGAAGTTCATTTTAATTACACACACACAATCATTGCATTCACATAAAGATCGGACTATCATGGCCGTGTCACTAGTAACAGAGACAGCCCCACCGTCTTACCGTGCCTGTTACGTATTAAGCGCGACTGGCAAATTCGAGCAACAGTTGCGTCCAGCACCGCGAGTGTTACTTCCGTGGTACCACTTACATGTATCGGTAATAATAGGAAACTAGAGTTCGATGATCTTATACCTCCATGACATGTGTATTGCTTTCATAAATCTTACGCATGGTGATGACCACCTGTAATTGGCTTACATTTTTCACCGCATATATTCAAATTATATGAGGCCATTTGCATATATTGTATCAATTGATCATACTCTCCACCAAATGACAGGGTTATCTTAAGAAATAAGGCTATTCTAGCGTTTCCTCCTAAATTATGCAAATGAGGTCCTGATTGAAATAAATTATGTTTAGTGATGTTTACCTTCACTGAACTTCCAATTATGGCAAGTATTAAATTCCCAGCAGTTACCACCATAAAATTGTACCAATTTGCCATTTATTATGCAAATTAGGTCTTCCTTTACATAATCGATATCTGCCAACGATCTTGTCGTTCTCACTAACATATGTCTATAGAGTTTTATAACCCTAATATGAAATACAGCTGATTTATATAATTTCCTAATTAATTATGCAAATTAGACCCTGATTTGCATAATTATATTTTGATTATGTCAAGCATCACTTAAGCTACCTACATACCAAAAATCATGATGATCCATCAAACGGTTGTTCAGTTATCCTCTCTCGAAGATTTTCAAAGAAACCACCCTGCAGTTCCAGAACAAGCCGCTAGGGGGACCAAACTCACGTGACTTCACGAGGACAAGAGCTACCTTCCATCCAAATTTCATGACCCTAGCATGTCTAGATCGCGATATATCAAAACCGGAAGTTGGGCTGCAGTACCAAGGGAAGCCACTAGGGGGCCCAAAATCTAATCATTTCCAGTTTTCGTCACACCCTACCAACACACCAAGTATGAAACCAATCCATCCAGGCGTTCTTGAGTTATCTTGTTGACCAACAGACGGACAGACGAACAGACGGACGGACAGATAAACGCAACTGAAAATATAACCTCCATGACACATTTCAGTCTGTATGACTTTATTATATTTATAGACTGTTACCATACAGCCATTAGTGTAAGTGTATATATATAATAAAGATGTATCCTACGTCATTTACATTACGTCAATTATGATCATTATTTTACAAACACTGACCGCTACAAGCCAAACCGGCGGCCAGGATGTTGATAGTATACAATATAATACGGTCCCAAATAGTAAGCACCGTAAGGCCATGTTAATTTGATTATATGGATGACATCCTCCGGGAGCCCCAAAACTGATGCGCGCGTGCGAATAAAAAAAAAGTTTTGAAAAAAAATTCTTTTCATTATGAAATCTACGTGGTTATGAGGGTTGAGCAAATGGCACAGAATATGGTTTGGCGAATAATCTAGTCTTCAAGTTCATGTCTTTACAATTTCGTCTTTTTTCGTTTGATTTTGACATTCTACGACATTGGTATAGTTTTTATTAATTTTTTTTGTAACTTATGGTATATTTTTGCTCATTTTGCAACTGTTTTGTACGATTTACAGTATGGTTGAAAACTTTTCTTTTTTTTTGGAAACGGCCGAAAATTCATGCGCGCGCGGATGTCATCCATATAATCAAATCAACATGGCCTAACTCATGATACACAGTATCTTTTAAATATTATACGAGACAAACATGTAAACAAACACTGACCACTACAAGCCAGACCGGCGGCCAGGATGTTGCTAGTATACAATACGGGCCTGAATAGGAGGCAACGTAACTCATGATACACAGTATCTTTTAAATATTATAACAGACAAACATGTAAACAAACACTAACCGCTACAAGCCAAACCGGCGGCCAGGATGTTCATAGTATACAATACGGGCCCAAATAGTAAGCCCCGTAACTCATGATACACAGTATCTTTCGAATATTATAACAGACAAACATGTAAACAAACACTGACCGCTACAAGCCAAAGTAACTGATTTCCAGCGAGAATGGTAGAAGGCAAGAAGCAAAGCATTGGAATCGAAATATCCGGGCGTTTCCGGGCCTGTACACATCCCGTGAAACTTGGCGTGTCCGGGTGTGTCCCGGTGTGTGCTGGAAATATCGACCACGGCGTGTGCGGGTCTGTGATACCCCGAGTCCGGTAATTAGTCGTGTGTACGGAAACTAACGGGCCTGTACACGTCACACGTCGCAAGTATTGCCAAACAATGATGGGTCACCATACATGTAGATGGTTTCGGAAGTGCGTGGATTGAGAGATGCACATGTGTTTGGCCGCGTGTAAGAAGAGCATGGAAAATGCTGGTTAGAAAACAATATTATTTTTACTCCCGTTCAGTTCAGTTTACTTCCGAAATCTAGCTAAACACGAGTTCGGACCATGAACCGAATTACTACCTAAAAACGTTGTAGGTAAAAGGCAACGCAACACAAAGACAAGACATCTAGATTGGATGGTAGATATATACAAAACTGCAGTCATTTACTAGCGGTTTAGATCATGTATCAAAATTTTGGACACCGATAAAAAATTACGTACTTTGTCCTTGTAAACCATATACTCTAATACAAAGAAAATTTTTTTCTACATTGTTCGAGTTTAAAAAAATATGCAGTTTGAAGGCGTCTGGTTGTGCCTTTGGCCTTATTCCATATTAGATATGGGCTGAGAAGGCCAAATGTACACATATTAACGTCTTCCTTGTGTTAAAAGTGTCTTCCAATTCAACTGGAAAACGTTTCTTTTTTCCAGTTTGTTGCCCTTCAATTGTAATTTTTTTTAACATTTTGGCAGTGCTTTTTTTATTAGAAAATTGTCCAGTATATCCTGTGAGTCATATTTGGCATATTTGGCGTGTCTGGTATATATGGCAAGGTGGAATCATTTTCGGTGATTGGCTGTTGAGATCATTGCGGCACACATGACACTAACTGTATTCATGCAGGACCAATGTTTAATGCTCGAGCGGTCACTAAAGACGCCGGTCACATTTTCTACATACATATTCATATTCTACATACGTTTCATTTTGTTCCGATTCGTGCATTTCGTTTCATTTCGCACTTTCTGTACACCGGACACAGTAAGGTAAGAGCGACAAACAACATGGCAGCTTCTTAGAACCATCCGGTATTAAATAGTAGTGCTGACAGCTTCTCATATCATAATCGAAGCATTTGAGATCTATTTGCCCAGTCAACAAACACACTGTCAGGGAGTAACCACTAGGGTCGCATTTGTTCAAGCATTTGGTTCATAAAATAACCAAGACAAGATGAATTCCATTGCAACTATTCTAAGTATTAACATGAAAGTTCATCTGAGTTGGTCAATTACATTATGAGAGATTCTGAACTGTTTTCCAACTCATAAATTTGACTCACCGGAATTTTCGACTGAATCGCTAAGTCTTCCTCAGCTATTTGACCCAAATGCTGTGTACACGTAATTTTTCCCACGTGTGACGTCAGCAAAGGGTCAAAGGTTGTCATATTTCCCCCCGTCCCGGTTGAGCGATGGTTGAAGTGCCCTGATGTATATGGCCTCTTTTATGCCTCTCTTGAAGTAAACCTGTTCGGTATCCAAAATTCTGACCCCCTCCAGATCCACTGTGTGTCTCGGTGATTCTATGTGGATGTGCTGTGACACCTCAGATGCAACAGAACTGGGTCGTCTATGTTCTAGAAACCTGGTTTTTAGTGAGCGCTCAGTTTCCCCGATATAAGTTTCCCGACAGGGGCCTCTGTTAGTGTTTCCCTGGCAACTTATGTGGTAGATAACCCCACATTTGTCTTCCTTGGGAGTTTTGTCCTTAGGTGCCACAATGAGCTGTCTTAACGTATTCTTGGTATGGCAACCGTTGCTATGAAACTTGTTTTCTTGGCGACTAATAGGAAACTTGAGATGTTAATATGTATATATATATATATATATCTTTTGCGCGCTGTCGAGTTACACGATAACATCAGTAAACCAACCAATACCAGGATGTGCCACGTATTCACGAATAGCCACCACCACAGTGAACAGGACGGCGAGAACACGGCTCAAGTAAGAGACAAGCATCCACAAGGAGATCTTTACGTAACACTGCAGGTGAGAAATATTTGTTGTCTCAAGTTGACTTTTAACATCACCTTAAAAGGCCAAATCGTGAAGTCCAAACCCGTCGTACGATATGAGACGTGTGAAATAGTTTGAAATCAAAATATCGTGCATGTGCCTTTGTAAATCTACCACATACGGCACGATCATCGCTTCGTCGAAGCAAGCGGCACGGCAAGTGGACCGGCAGACAGTACGCAGGGGAGTGAGTAAGGGGTGATGAAGCACTCTACTTATTGTTACCTTCGCCAAGAAGGTTTTCTTTCAGTAGCGTTTGTCCGTCTGTCCGTTTGTCTGTCTGTTTGTCTGTGAACAGCATAACTCAAGAATTTCAACATGCATTGTCATGAAACTTGGCAGGTAGGAAGGTCTTGATAAGACCTAGAAATGATCAGATTCTGGGGCCCCTAGTGGATTTTGTTGGTATTGAATCTACAAGGTTTTGATACCTCGCGAGC